TCCTTCTCTAGAAAGAGACCTGATGAACTCTAAGTGCAAATTAAAATATATTTCCCCCCCTTCTTTTTTTGTGATACAGCTAAAATAAAAATGTTTTGCATGATTTTACATGTATAATTCATATCATTGTTTGCCTTCTTAGTAGGTAGGGGGGGGAGGGAGGGAGAGAATCTGGAACTCAATTTAAAAAGAAATGAATGCTTAAAAAATAGTAAATTGAGGGGGAAGAAAGCATTGGACTTGCAGTCTTGGCTTGAATCACATGTTAGTTGTGTGATCATGGAAGGAAAGAAGGAAGAGAGGAAAAAAAGAAGCAAGCATTTATTAATTATCTACTTTGTGCTAGGCACTGTGCTAAGTGATCTTCTGATCTTATTTAATTGTCACAACAACCCTGGTAGGTTTTCGTCATTATTATTCCCATTTTACAGTTGAGGAAACTGAGGCAGACAAATTAAGTGACTTGCCCATCGTTATGCAGCTTGCAAGTGTCAAGGCCATATCTGAACTCAGATCTTCTGTCTCCAAACTCAATGCTGGATCCTCTGTATCATCTACTTGCCTCTATGGGAAAGTCAATTAACTTCTCTAATCTTCAGTTTCTTAAGCTGTGAAATCTACTACTTACATTAACTACCTATTTCTCAGGGTTGTTGTGAAAAGTGCTTTGTAAAACTTGAAGTGTTATTTCAATCAACTGTTGCTATTGTTATCATTGTACTCTATACTCATTAAGAGTATAGTCTATGTTGTCTAGCTTTTGCATAAAGCAGATTTGTGTAGAATGGTTATTGAAATGAAGTAAACCTCCATTTCTTTAAATTGATTCAGCTATGTGGTTCAGACACCCTCCCTTCCCTTTTTCAGAAAAGTCAGAGTTAGGCTTAGCTTATCAGCAACTTTGTGAAGGGAGGTATGATAAAAACTAATACAGAGAAAACTGAAAATCTGCTGAGCATTTGGGATGTCCTGGGGAAGGATGCTATATAAATAGAATCATAGAATGCGAGACTTAGAGATTTTCAAAGATGACTCAGATTGGTTCGTGAAGCAAGACACATTTATTATCTTTTGCATTAGAGTTGGTGGCCCCTGATGAGATTGTCAAAGGCACAAGGGCAAGGAAGAAGGGACTGGGAACAAAGGATACATCTGGAATATGATCACCAGAGAATCAAGAAAGGATACAGCTGTGTTTCAGTCAGTAGAGGTGATAGGATGTATCCTCTATTCAGCCAACAGAGGAGTACTGGGATATCACCAGACTTTGGGCAAAATGATTCTCAGACTGTGACAGGAAGAGGAAAGTGATTGATGAACCTGAGAGAATCATGTACCCTCCTGACCTGGAACTCAGATTACTTCAAGCTCTCCTTATTCCTCCCCACTTAATATGGGAATACCTGGGTCCCATTCCATACAATAAAGTGGAGAGCAGCTATGAATTTCATAGGAATGTTTTCACAGGAATTTCATAGTCTCACATTGGCATGTTTGTTTAATTTCCCACTTTTGAAGTCCCAGGCAAGGAACTGCTAACTGTTAAGGGTGCATGCATATAGGATGGAGGTTTCCCAGCTTAGAAAATTCTAAGCACAGAAGGTTCTAGAAAAGGAGCACGGATGGGGTGAGGTAGGGATGCCCAGCAGGACAGTATGTACATGTAATGCAAAAGATTGCCTGCCACAAGGAAAGTTACTGTAAGCAAAGTTTAAGAGATTATCTACTCCTGTCTCTTCCCTTTATCTATGAGGAAATTGAGACACTCATAGTTTAGTGATTTTTCTAAAATCACACAACTAAATAGTAGAGTCATAGCAAGAATACAGATTTCATGCCTTTCAGTCCATCAATCTTTCCATTACACATTAATTCATTTCTTTTTAATTGTCATACTCTTCCTTCAAAATTTCAGCATAGTTCAACCCTCAGCTTGGGAGGGAAATCTTGAAGATGACTGACTCCAAATGTCATTCCCCAATATTGTTATCTGAGATATAAGAGCATTCCTAGGTGAATCTTAGACTGTTTTAAAAATAAATCTTATTTTTTCATTATTTTGTACTTGATAAACACAGACCAAAACGAACACCTCCTTCAAACAGCTTGATCTTTTAAAAAAAAAAAAGCGTGAGCAAATTCAACATGCTAGTTTTAAAGATGAGATTATGTCTCCCTATGAATCACCTTCTGTTTTTGTCTACCTGTTGTTTTCTTAAGTGCTTGCAATCATAAAATTTTGCAGTTGATTTGCCTTCCTAGTTATTTTTTGTTCTGTCAGATATACAAATGTTGCCTGAACTCAACGCACTTGTGGGGGGGGGGGCATCTCAGAAATTCATTGGGTATCAGGGGCAAACAGGCTCAAGATAAGAGATTTCCTGTGCACAATTAGCACACAAATAATGATTCATTATTTATGTTTCAAAATGTTTACATGTTACAAATTTTAAAAAATGTCCTCAAGTAAGTATGAAAAGGAAAATTCTAATGAGTAGACAAGGATTTAATACTTAAAAGTGGAACACACATTAGAAATCATCTACTACAAACCCTTCATTTTATAGATGAGGAAACCGAGGACCATGTAGGCGAAGAGACTGGCTTACAATGAAACAGCTAGTAAATAACAGTCAGAATTCAAAGCCAGATCCTCAGATTTCAAATTTATGTCACCTTGTATTGATGACATGGGATCTTAAAAATAAATTTTGAGCAGTGACTAGGAACTCAAGTGAACTTAATGACCCCACCACCACCACCACCAGCAGGTGGAGTATATAGTTGGGGGTCTTATCTCTGTAGGAATGATGAGTTCATTGGGCTCATAATTAAGATATTTATAGAGGAAAATATATTAAAGGTTTTAATTTATTTTAAAATAACATTTTATTGGTGTCTTTTGTTTTCATATCACAAATATTTCTGATTACTTCCCTTCTTTCACCAAACCAATAAGTCCTTCTTTGTTACAAAGAAAAAGAATCAAACAAATACAAAAGACTGGGTGACCTTGTCTGACAATGCATGCAGCATTGCATATCCATAGTCCCTCATGTATTTACCACAGGGGAGTATGTTTCCTCCCCTCTTATCTTTTGCCAAAATTGGTCTTAATATAAAGTTTTGTCTGGGAGAAAGATTTAGGGATCCTGAAGAAATAGTAGACCTTTGATGGAAGGCAGAGACACTGTTTTTGCTTTAACTACTCAGAGAGAGGTGACTAACTGCATCCCTCCCCAAAGTTCGGATTTGAAATGATCATTTTCTTAACTGTAGCCATTTCACGAATGGTGCTGAACATGATTGCTTTTTAATTCTAATTAATAAAATGGCTAATCATGAATGGTTTGGACAAATAGAAAGACATATACATATGATATATGTATATGTATATGCATGTGTATATATACATGTTTGTGTAAGTGCATGTAGAAAGAAAGCAATCAGAATTGCAAGTGCATAATAAATGAAGACAGCAGTGGTTAATTTTCAAGATAAATTATTCTTATGAAGTTAAGACTTTGAAATGTCAGCACCGCCAGCACACCCTACTACCCTCATCCTTAGTCCTTTATTCAGGAGCTTATTTTATTTACTTTTGATTTTTCCCTGCAGGAAAAGTTAAGATTTGAATTACTGATGAATGGTTTTGTGTGGAAAGTGAATATTTAAGGGGGTTGTATCATGAATAGGAAATTGAGGATTCTTTAGACAACAATTGGTGATGACCTCTTTATACTCATGGATTGAATATTTCTAGTGAAATTGACTTGATACTCTTCTTCCAGTGTGATGTAGTGGAAACATGCACTGGTTCTGAAGTCTGAGGTTGAAATCTTGCTACCGACACTCATTTGGCAGTCTTGGGCAAATAACGCTACTCCCCTGCATCTCAGATTCCTCATATGTAAAATGAGCAGGTTGGACCAGGTGGCTTCGGAAGATATTCACCACTTTAGATCTGTGATCTTCTGTTTCATCAAGTTTGATCTGGGAGAAGTTAATCCTTCAATAAGAACAGAGCACAGTGATTCCAAGCAGAGGATAAGGCTGCACATGTTCTGATTGCATTTGGATTTGGCAGTATTTATATCTGCTCCAGAAAATTGTTAGGGCATGATGAATATGTGTGCGAGGATGAGAAGAGCCCTTGCATCAGGAAAAGCTTCCTAATAATTGGACTCCCTAAGAACTGGGATGGGCTACTACTGGAGGTGTGTGGATTCTCCTTCCTTGCATGGAGGTGGAGGAGGACAAGCTATATTTGGGCTGGATCATGTATATATGAAAGGAAATAGTGGAGAATAAGTCTGGGAAGATATCTTGGGAACCAATAGGTCACTTTCCCTAATGATTAGGATGTATATGTGTGTGTATGTATGTATGAATGTTTGAATGTGTGTATACAAGGGCAGCTAGGTGGCACTGTGGATAGAGTGCCAGGCTTGGACTTAGGAAGATTCATCTTCCTTAGTTCAATGTGGTCTCAGACACTTCCTACCTGTGTGACCCTGGGCAAGTCACTTAACCATGTTTGCCTTAGTTTCTTCATCTATCAAATGAGCTGAAGAAGGAAATGGCCAACCACTCCAGTTCTTTACCAAGAAAACTCCAAATGGGGTCACAAAGAGTTGGAAACAAGTGAAATGACTAAATAAAAATAATAACAACATAAATGTATACACACATACGTAGGTACAACATCCTCCCCCCCATTCCAATAACAAGCATTTCTTTTCTTTCTCTTTAACTTCTCTTCCAACAACTGACCAAGAAAAAGGAGAAGAAAACCCTAAAAACAAATATAAAGTCAATTGATTGATTTATATTAAAGGAAGTTTCCTCTGCTAGAAAACAATATAACCAGGACAAAGGAACTCTCATTTGATATTCTTGTTAGAGTCAGAATATGACCTCTTGAAATGAGAAGAGGCAAATGGACTGACCTTTTGTTTTATTTCAATCCTAATTTGCTCTTTTTTCTTCCCTTTGTACAGTTGATGGGCTGGATAAGGCTTCCATTGCAAACTCAGATGGACCTACTACAGGTTCCCAGACACCTCCTTTCAAGAGAAAGGGTAAACTCTCTTCTATAGGCAAGATCTTTAAACCTTGGAAATGGAGAAAAAAGAAGACCAGTGACAAATTTAGAGAGACCTCAGCAGGTATGAGTTTCATAATTTCAGTAGGTGGAGATTAAAAAACTGTAAATTTTTGAAAATTGTGTGAAGCAAGGCCTTGTCAAATAGGTGAGAAGCATAATTGGATCCATTGTTGATGGAATGATTGAGAGGGCACTCTCAAGATTCTGATTCTGCCCTCTTTTCCTCATTTTGTATTTGTAGCATGTTCTGTTTTGTAAACACATACTTTCAGGCTTGTGTGCAGAACTATTTGTATTTGAGAAGAGAGAGATGAAGTTGTGGACAACAGGAAAGTCATGATGTCAAGACTACTATCATCTATTACCTGCGCTGTAGCTGATGGTGATATTGCTCGTTAAATTTTGAAACAGGAAAGGAAAATGTGTTCACTTGTTTTGCATGCAAATTTAATATGAAAGAAATTGTATTTGTCATGCTTTAATATTTAGTAAACTGCTGTCTCACAATTGGTATAAAATGAGGCATCAATTAACATGGACTCTACATGGTGTTAAGACCCAACTGTTGACTAAATCTGTGGTTGGGAGTCCTTTATTCAGTGAGTTCTGAAATCAATCCCCGTTACATGCCAGATACTACCTTAAATGCTAGGATACAGAGCCAAAAAGTGAAACAGAACTTGCCCATTCACACAGAGAGGGCATAGCAACAGAAAGAAAGGAAAGGGACCCAGGACAGACCACAGGTGTCTTCCATATCTGTGGAGGCAGGGAACTATGATGATCCCTGAGTGGGAATGGGCAGATAGATAGGAAGGGAACAAGGAGAGAGTAGTGTCATGAAAACCCAGGGAAGAAAAAGTGTTCAAGAGGAGGTAAATAGGCGGTATTAAATGCCTTATATGCCAGACAGAGTGAACACTGTCAATACTGAAATGGTCAAGGCTGAGGATTGAGACTTGGTCACTGGATTTAGCAATTGAGAGACCATTGGTAATTATAGAGTTTCACTAAGTGGTAAAATTGGAAGCCCTGAACCACATGGTCAGTGCCTTCAATATAGGTGATGATACTGAGAGTCATCAGTGATTCCATCAGAGCTTTAAATGCTTTTATGTTTAATTTTATGTATTCTGACAACATCCTCATGAGTTATGGAAAGTCCTCTTGTCTCCATTCTGCCATAACCAAGATCCATTACACAACAACTGACTCTCAAAAAAAAAAAAGATACTTTGAAAGCTCAGTATCAGATTAAAACATGTAGAAATAAATATCAGCACCATTATACCTCTTAACCTGCAATAAAATAGGTGAAGCTTTTCTCACGTGATTTGACTATGAGTAGCTTTGTACTTATTCTCCTACATGTCCAACAGCTTGCCTAATCGTGAGCAGTACAACCTAGCACTTTGAGTGACTGTCCAGGGCCTCAAAGAACACATCTAGGGAAAGACCAGGGACATGAGCTGTCTTTGAGGTCCACAGCTGTGGAACAAAAAACATACGCCTTGTCCAGCTAAGGTGAAAGGGACAGAGAGCAAAAAGGAAGGCACCCTGGGGAAACCCTCAGACTCTGAGGCATTTGCAGCTGTATAAATAATCATAATAAAAAAATGTAACATTTAAGAAGAGAGATTACTCTAGGAAAACATTAAAACAACAAAGCTATTGGGCTTTATTTTTTCCAATGGTAAGTTGTTTCCTTGTATAGAAGGCAACATGGTGCAGCCAATAGGTTCAGTGCAGATAAACTGGGGGAAAGAAGGATTAGTAATGTCTATATATATACCTTTTCTCTTCAGCCCTTTCCTGGCATCTGTGCTGCCTTCTCTCTTATACTAATAATCACGTTTAGATAGTATTTTAAGATTCTCAAAGCACTTTCTTCACAGCATACTCATGCATTATGGCAGTGCAAATAGCATTTTTCCTATTGTACATATGAGGAAACTGAGACTCAGAGAGGTTAAATGATTTGCCTATGGTCCTTGATCATTTCTTAACCATTCCCTTTTCCTTATCTCTTCTTATTACTTAAGCCACATTTCCACTGCTACTGCTGTTCAAGGAAAAATTAATATTCTGTACACTGTAAAATCTGCCACACATTGACTGGGAACCAGAGTGGGCAAGCTAACTAAAGTGAGCCATCCAACAATCCATTTGCTCCCTTTTTTCTTTCACTGGAAGGTTTTATAGGAATGGAATGAGAAGGAAGTAAGCATTATATAGCATATACTATGATGTGCCAGAAACTATAAAAAGCACTTTTTCTATAAATATCTCATTTGATCCTCACAACAACTCTGTGAGATACTTAGTTATTATTCATCTTATGATTAAGGAAACTGAGGCAGACAGAGGTGAAATGACTTGCCTATGATTATACAACTATTAAATGTCAGACTGGATTTGAATCCAGGTCTTCACAACTCCGGACCCCATTCTCTATCCAACTGTACCACCAGCTGCCTCAGCTGCCTTATAAAAGCTGAGCATCAGAATGTTATTTGTGGACCTCATTCACCTAGTTCCAGAATGCCACTAAACTGAGAATCTAGAGGATAATTAAATGTCGCATTAATCGGCCCTTTTGGGTTTTGCTTCAGAATTACTCCTGAATGTGTTTGTGTGCATTTTATATCATACTCCTCTGTATCCATTTTTCCAAACACACTTAAAAAGCTACTATATTGTATATGTTACAAATGTCCTTTTACCCAATGATTCCATTGTATGTATTTAACTTTTGAACTACTAGTGAGTATTGCAGATCATGCTAGTTAAATGTAAAACAAAAAGTACATTGTGCATCATTATTCAGTTTTTCTCAGATGTGCGTTTTGGATCCATAGAGATATCAGTGGGCTTGAAAATGGATGAAAAGAATATCATTTTTTTTTAGCTTTTGGGATCATAGATTCATAACTGGAAGGGACCCTGGACACCATCTAGTACATACCCTTCATTGTGCATAAGAAGAAATGAGGCCCAAGGAAGTAGGCATCAGATGGGGGCTTTTACTCAAGGCCTTCTACTACAAAGCCAGTGCTCTCTGCGTGGTGTCATAATTATTATTCACTGTCTACTATGTGCCTAGCACTTTACAAATATGATTTCATTGGATCTTCACATACCACTCTCTAAGGTAGGTTCTATTATCTCCACTTTGTGGTTGAAAAAACTGAGATAGACAGAGGTTAAATGACTTTCCCAGGATCACACAACTATTAAGTGTCTAAAGTCATATTTGAGCTCAGGTCTTCTTGATGTTAGGCCCAGAGCTCTATCCACTGTGCCTCTGTAAAGACAGTTTAAATTAAACCTATGATATCTCCCACACAGGGCAGCTAGATGGTGCAGTGGATAAAGTACCACACCTGGAGTTAGGAAGACCTCTCATCTTGAGTTCAAATCTGACTTCAGACACTTCCTAGCAGTGTGACCCTGGGGAAGTAACTTAAACCTGTTTACCTCAGTTTTCTCATCTGTCAAATGAGCTGAAGAAGGAAATGACCAACCACTCTAGCATCTTTGCCAAGAAAACTCCAAATGGGGTCATGAAGAATCAGGCATGACTGAAATGACTGAACAATGACTGAATCTCCCATGTAGATTGTAAGCATGTGTTTGTGCAGATGGAACCTTGGTCTCATATGCAGCCTGGTATCACATGATGATGTAGGGAGGGTTCAGGGAGTCTGTGAAGTCACCATATGACTAAGAGTGTGTAAATATTTTTATTTATATTAATTCGGATGTTGACATGCTGTATACCCATCTGTTAGAGGCCTCATTTCATCCAATGTGTTTTTAATGATTAAAAATAGCCCACATTCACTAACCTTGTTACAAAACAGTTCATCTCAAAAGCTGTTGCCAGCCCTGCGGTTTCTGAGAGCTCACGTAACTTCACTACACACCATCCTTCAGCCAAAGGAGCAGGAAATCCAGGAAGGAATTGAACACTGCAGCTTAAACATTTTGTTATGACTTCCTTTCTTAGATCCAAACCCAGGGGCTTGATTTAGATGAGCAAACAAGACAAAGGTCAGAAAGCCACCTCCCCTATTTCAAAGCTGGATACATCCCACTCATTTTGCTCTCATTTTCACGGGGGAGGAAAGGCAGGTGTTGAAGTGTGCTACCCTCCTTCGTAGACACACTTGAAGCTTAGAAGAAAGGATTCTTGTGAACTGGTTGGGTTCCAGTAGTTCATTTGAAGTCAGTTGTTTGGTACACATGCTTTCCCTATGGATGGTGGCCAGGTTTCTAGGCCAGACGAGAAAGTCTTTTAATCCAAAATGTAGCTGAATTTGCTTGCTCTGGGAGGACTTTTTTTCTTTTCTCTTATTATTAGTGATAATTACTAGATTAAATATTATCAGTGACCAAATACTTATTAATAGTTCACAGTTATTCTTTTCCCAGCTATTTGTTCATATCATTTGACCACTTATCTATTAGGGAATTATTTTTGGCCTCACACACTTCTGTTAAAGAAGGCAAATCTTTTTTTTAAGAAGTTTTATTGATTATTTAAAAATTTTTCATTTACCAGTACCACTGCTGAGTAGAATCATACCTTGAAATAAAATACAGCTAAACAAAGCAAACTGACACACTGATTGTGTCTGGCCGAATGAACCTCATTCCAAACCATTAGTCTGCTGAGAAGCAAGGAGGTATGATGTCCCATCAGTCCTCTGGAGACAAGACTGGTCAGTACATTAATCTGAGTTCTGATGACTTTTAGTGTTGATTTAAAAAAAAAATTATTGTGGTCACTATGTAGACAGCTCTTTTGGTGAAGAGTTCACTCTTCATCACTTTATATCATCATTCAAAAGGCATTTATTAAATACTTACAGTACTATATACAAAGCAGTCTGCTGGGTACTAAGGATTCAAAGATAAAAGTGAAACTAATCCTTGCCCATAAGGGACTGACAACCTAACAAAGGATAACAGTGTGTGTGTGTGTGTGTGTGTGTGTGTGTGTGTGTGTGTGTGTACGTGTGTACGTGCCCATATTTGTGTGACTGCATATATGTGCAT